AACTAAGGAGAAGATTCAACTCATCCGAGAGAGGCTACGGATGGCGCAAAGTAGACAGAAGAGCTATGCGGACCATAGACGAAGACCCTTAGAATTAAAGGTGGGAGACTACGTATTTCTCAAGGTGTCACCCAAGAAAGGCGTGTTTCGATTCAACAAGAAGGGGAAGTTAGCGCCAAGATATACCGGAACGTTTGAGGTAATCAAAGCGGTAGGCAAGACGGCATATAAACTTCGACTACCAGCCCAGCTATTCGGAGTACATGATGTGTTCCATGTGTCCATGTTGAGAAGGTGTTACTCGGATGCAACTCCAATTGTGAACTTGGAGGAGATTGAAATTCAAGACGAAGCAACCTACGAAGAACAACCGGTAGAAATTCTCGACGCCTAGGAAAAATCGCAACAAAGTTATCAGATTGGTGAAGGTTTTGTGGCAACACCATGGAGTGGAGGAAGCTACATGGGAACCGGAGCAAAAAATGCGGAAGAAGTATCCATATTTGTTCGCTACTTGAGGTAAGTTTTGAGGACGAAACTTTCTTTAAGGGGGGTGGATTGTAACACCCTGCATTTTTTTTTATATATGTATATAGATATATAATAAATAATTGTGGTAAAAAAAATGTGGATATATGTAGTGATGTGTGTTTGAATTTGGTAGATTGAAAAAATAGAGATTTAAAATGTTAGTGAAAATAATAGTTGAAATTTGATTTTAATAAGTGAAAATATGAAATTTTAGGTCATAGAACTTGTATTAAATAGGTTTGGTGTAGAAATATGTGTTGAATAGTGCACTGGCTGCAACTTCAAGCGCGATTTCGACCTTGCTGCAGTTAATAGCTCTCAAAACTCAAAACATGAAAGTTTTAGAGCTTTTTCTTATCATTCCATAGCATCTTGAATCATCTCAATCGGAGCTCGGATGATAGAGTTATGCTCAAATAACGAAACAATATCGAAATAGTCCAATTAGCTTCGTTTTGTATTTAATGTCTCCATTTGCATCCTAAATCAAAATATAAGAATAATGAGTACTTTTAGGCTTCAAATAAGTATAAAAGGCTTTAAGAAGTACCATTTATCACCTTTTATTTGTAAATATCGCAAAATTTCATTAATAGTCGATTCGAATGGGTAAAATAAAAATTTTAGTGTTTCGAGTGTACGTTGACTTGGGTTTTGAGATAAATCATAAAAATAAATGTTTTTAGGTTAAAATAACATTAAAAATGAATCCGGAACATCGACAAACCTTAGGGTAGTCATATGGATCAAATTGAAGATTGTTAGTGGCAAAATCGTAAATTTGGAGAAACTCAAAAAAGCATGTGAACAGTATTTTTCGGTGCTACTATGTTTTAAACTCATTTTTATCTCATTTTCTCTCATTTCCTTCACTCCCCTCACACCCCCACACCTCTTGGAACCCTAGAGAGCATTAGAGAGGAAGAAAAGGGAAAAACAAGAGATTCAGGGGTGATTCAAGATCAAATATTCTTGTTCTTCACACCAAAACTAAGGATTCAAGATAGGAGTTTTCTCTCATTCACTTATCAATGGTATATATATGCTATGGAATCATCTTTTCTTAGGTTTTTTTGCAAGGATTACATGTTTTGAACAAAATAGGGTTTAATACTCATGAAATCTCATTTCTAGTTTTAAAACCCTAATTTTTGGAAAGTGATATATTTCCTTCCTAAATGCTTTCTTTATTATGAATTTCGAAATATTAGTGCTTTGTGTTGGGTAGAAAAATGATGTTATTGTGATCTCATATATTTTTTTAGTTGGTTGTGGAATTGTTACATGATATATTTTAGAAATTTTGGATAGATGCTTGTAAATTGAGATAAATATTGGAATTGTATGCTTAGTTGGGTTGTTTGTGATGCATATGAGTGAGAGATTCCTTGTAAGGAGGCTGACCCCTTCCCAAGAGGTTCCCAGTAAGGATGTTTGGGAAATAATGTAGTGATTGGTGAGAGGTTCCATGTAAGGATGTTCATCTACTTTCAAGAGGTTCCCGATAAGGATGTTTGAAAATTAAAAGTGACCTAAAGGGGGGTGGAGGTTACCACAAAGTATGCCACCTACCGAAAGAATTGTTGGGAATTGATTATGACAATTAATGGTTATTATTTATATGTGGTGCTCGTTTATTCATTTAAGTAATGTTTTTAAATAAACTTGAGATCATTTTTAAATGTCACTTACTTTATTTCAAATTATATATCTATGTTATGTTAAAATTGAGACCAACAATTTTAAATGTTTTTCTAAACCTTGTATGAGTTTGAGAGAATTTTTCTACAGAGCTTCATGCTCACCCCTTATCGCTAATATTTTTTAGATTACTCGCTTGAGAAGGAGGACGTAAGGGTCGAGGAGCCCGCTACTTGGGAGACTTCACTGGACGGGAGTGTGGATCCCGAGGTGGACGCATAGAGCGACCTCTTTTCCTTTTGTACTAGACTAGAACATTCTTTTGGAACATTGTGTAGTCTTACTTCTTTTGTTTATTCCACTGTGTTTCTTTAATTAATTTTTGAGATGTAATAGTCATGACTTGGGCTTACTCTTTTGAATAATGTTGTAAATATTCGTGGATGACAAATGAAGTCTTGTTTCTTAAGGGATTATATTAGTACTCTCATGATATGAATGATTTTAGAATGTAATGCCGTTCAGGGTGTGTTTTGGGGCGTTATAGAATTACACTTCTAGCATTTAAAATATTACACAAGTTGTCTAAAATTTGTATGCACATAATTCCTACACTATTGTTATTAATGTCTGTTAATATATCTATTAGTAAATTATATTTAGACTCCTTGAAGTTTATAAGTATATAATACTTAGACACCTCAAGTTTAAATTATTATAATTAGACCAAAAATACTCCACTCAAACATAGAATATCAAATGTTTTAAATTTTTAAACAAAAATTCATGTTTTATTATGACATTATTGGAATAAAAATAAAAATAAAAAATTTAATTTTTCTTAAAAAATTATAATTAGTATACAATTATATTATCTATTGAAATAAAACTAAAAAATTAAACAAGGGAACCAAACTATAATGGATACAATAACTTGTAGCTATAATTGGAGTAATTGCTACAAAATCAAATAAGGGGTCAAACTATAATGGACACAATATCTTTTAACTTTAATTGAAGTAATTTAGTAGTTTAATTTTGTACTAATTATGATTTTTTATGAAAAAATTAGATTTTTATTTTTGATTTTATTTCAATAAATAACTTAATAAAACATGAATTTTTGTTGTAAAATTCATGTTCTATTGTGAATGACTTAGGCCCCTTATTTGATTTTTTAGTTTTATTACAATAGATAGTATAATTATATATGGAAAATTTTCAGTCACAGACGCCTTATTTGATTTTTTAGTTTTATTACAATAGATAATATAATTATATATGAAAAAATTTCAGTCACACTTCTGCTAGTTTATTATATCTTCAAAGACACCCCTCTAATATAAAAAATATTACTAACACCCCCTACAATTAAACTATCATTTCTAACAAAAACAAATCACCTAAAATACTAAAAATGCCCTTACATAAATCTAAAGTAATTTTTCTACATAAATTTTATTAAAATTCAAGCCGATTAAAATTTAAATTTTTATATATTAAAATTTGAACCAATTAAAAATCGATAAAAACTGATTAAATTTTATTTTTTAACGCATTAAAATTCAAAATTATTAAAATTTTATTTTTTACGTATTAAAAATTGAGTCAATTTGAACTCTACCCGAGTTATTAGTGTCAAATAAAATTCACTTTCAAGTGTACTAAAATTTATATTTTTATACTTACTAAAATTCGTGTCAATTAAAATTTGATTTATTAAAATTTGAATAAATTAAAATTTATATTTTTTTTTATGTTTTAAAATTTATACTGATTAAAATTCAATGCGAGTTGATTAAAAATAATTTCTAATTGGCTTAAATATAATATTACTTAGCCCAAATTTTAATAAGTAAATAAAATAAATTTTAATCGGCTCAAATTTTAATATGTAAAAAAATAAATTTTAATTAGCTTGAATCAAATTTTAATTGACCTGAATTTTAATACGTAAAAAGAAAAACAGAGGGGGTCTCATTGAAGACATGCTTTTCTAGAAGGGATGTAGATGAAGTTTATTCTCAAATATATCATGGACAATTTAGTAAAATTGCATTGTAGTTAATATTTTTAATCTAACAGGGGGTGTCAGTGAAGATTCAAAAAATAAAGGAGGTATCCTTAAAGATATGATAAATTAGAGAGGGTGTGATTGAAAATTTTCCATTATATATTAATTACAATTTTTTAAGAGAAATTAAATTTTAATTTTTAATTTTATTTTAATAAATCATATAATAGAATATGAATTTTTGTTGAAAAATTTAAAATATTTGATATTCTATCTCTAATTGGAATAATTTTTGTCTAAGTATAATATATTAAACTTGAAGAGTCTAAGTATTATGTGTCTATAAACTTTAGGGGATTTAAGTATAATTTATTAACAGATATACTAACCGACATTAACGACATGGATCTAAGTGTTATACACGTATAAACTTTAAGAAGTTTGTATGTAATATTTCAAATATCAAGAAATCTAAGTCATTAAGTGACAAATCTTAAAAAGTCTTAGATGCAATTTTCACTAAAGAATTATTAGACTTAAATCAAATTTTAACGGGTTCAGATGATAAAAGACTAAGCTTACTAAACTCATTCGAGTGGGCTTGCCAAGCTCATTTAATGATTATATCGACGTAAATCTAGCTAAACAAAACACAAATATGTCTAAGCACGGCATAAATTCAAAATAACACGTACTCGACTATAAATAGATATAAATAGATCGCATATGAGTTGAGCAAATCTTGAGACGACACAACCATTAGCCAACCAAACTTAGCATGGAACCTCATGTCCTCATTCTTTGCAAGTTACGACTATAGCATATATTGACCATTGAAGAAAATAAAGAAAAGCAAATATTCCATATTCGCTGCAATGTATGTGTATACCTGCGGATTTCCGACGACCGCGAAGTACATGCCTGTAATATAATGATTAGCCAAAGCCATTTCTTCCACTGGCCCTATCAAGTTTGACATTGCCATGCTTGAGTTCTTGAGAGTTCTGTGAACGTACTGGGAGGTTGCCTGCAGCACCATGTTAACCAGAATGGTAAATTATACTTTGACCCTCATTTTTTTATTTACTTACACTGTCTCACATTGTTCCATCAACTATTATGATCATTACCAATTTTAGTGTTCCTCAAAGCACTTAAATGAAATTTGCAATCAGTTTCGACAGAAAAATATTGATTTTATGTTAACCAAATGATAGACAACAAAAACTTCTATTTCATAACAAATTTGGTCACTTCCCATTGAAAACATGACTCATGTCTGGTTTTGGGAATTTAAATAGTTGAGGGGATAACATAAGATTGAAACTATAGTTGAAGTCCAATATAATTTTTTCTATTTAAAAAACCTACGTTTTATATCGTCGGTAAAAATGAAATTTCTTATATTGAAACTATAGCCCCGGTCTCACATTACCCCACTACTTGAATTAGTTTCATATAGTTTTCTCACAAGGAATTTCATATTTAGAATGACAAAAAAGATTAGTTTATTTCTAAAATTTTGACCCCTTCAACTATTTTTTTGATATCGTTTCCCTAACTATTCACTTCACAAGGAGGATATAGAAACTCAACAAAAAAAGAATTAGTTTCATATTACCCAAAACAAAAGGACTTTATATTTTTCCCGAAACATACCTTGGTGGCATTAGATTTTGGTGCAAAGTGAAATGCATTCATATAGTTTGGAAGGCAAAGTAACAAAATTTTCCATTTAATTTTAAACAAGCGCCTACTATTATAACAATGTGAAACCAATAACTATAATAGTAGATAAAGTGAGAAATACGACAGATAAGGCGGCAACGTGAGACATGATCACAAGAACAGTGGGTCTGAAAAACACACCATGCACATTGGATGAATATAATTTACCACTGGACCTCTTAGTTTTCTCATGGCCTCTATATTCTCCTAGTGAGGTGAATAGTTAGGGAAAATGAGAGAAATAAAAATAGTTGAAGGGGTCAAAATTTTAGAAATAAACCAATCTTTTATGTCATTCTAAATATGAAATTCCTTGTAGGAAAACTATAGCCACGATTTCAATTTTCCCATAGTTACTCAAATAGGTCCCAACTTTCTCTAATATCTAATTTAAAACAAATGATAGCTATTATGACAACGTAAAAAATCAATAACCCTAATGAGATGTAATGTAAGAAACACGACAATTAAACATTTAATTAATAAAATTTACCTCTGGACCTCTTAGTTTTCTCATGGCCTCCAGTAACGTACTAGTGAGGTGAACAGCAAAAGAGTTCCTTTTCCTTTTAATGAGTTGATGTGCCTTGAGAATAAAGCTGAGAGGGTCTGAAGATTCAGCAACACTTAACTTGGGTATAGGAATGTGCAGGAATCCGAAATTGTTCCCCCATGGCATCTCAGAATCAGGTTTAAGCATTTCACTTATTGACTTGTAACCTGCCACGGCTCTGGTGTTGAGCACCACCAGTGCAGTAGACTCTGCATCACCCAACTCATGGCTTGTTGCTTGCATGTATAATCGAGTTCCAAGGAAGATTATTCCGGTAATCACGTCATTTATCGTCTGTTTAGAAATAAATTAATGTTCAGATGATGATAATCGAAAGAAATTCTATAGCAGAAGAAATATATAAAAAGATGATAAATAGTACCATGAAACCCCAAAAAGAAAGATATCCAAAAACCTAGCTAATAGTTAAAAACTTTCTTCTTTCTTTTTTTTTTTGTTGTGCAATGGTCGGGGTCCAAGCCAGCTTACACACACCTTGACTAATTTCCTCTCTAGTTTAGTCAAAAACAGATCATTCACGCCAAAATTAATGCATTCACGAGGGATTATCCCTCGTGGTCTAGCCTTAATGAGTTTACAAGATTCGAAATCAGAATGTCTGGATTTACAACTCATTTTTATTACTAATTGAACTATCCCTTAGGTTAATAGGTAAAAACATCCAAATAGTAATTCTTGTACAAAAATCTTAACCTCCAAACCTGATTATTTGAAAAACAAAAAAAAAAAAAAAACAAAGAAGTTTTGACCCTCACGGTGCTATGCCTAACAGATTAGATTTTGTACCAAATTAGATTGATCTTAATTTGAGTCATATTTAAGAACTCTAATACGAGTTCAGTTTGATTATGCAACAAACTTCATTACCTTGGAGAAAATCAATTGTTCGACTTGAAAATCCAAGTTGATCGGGTATTGATATTTTTACATCCTAAATGAATGTGAAAATTGGATCAAAAGGTTCCATAAAAAAAAAATATGCATGTTTGATTTGAAATGTGAAAAATTTAGAACATTTGTAGGAAGTATAGCAGGATTGTAAAACTCAACTCTAGATCCCTGCTTCTGAGGTGGACTTCTAATTCTAAACCTTGGTAATCACTACTCTCACATGTTTATCTAACATTAGGGCCAGACCCATCTAACATTAGGGCCAGACCCAGACTCATGATTCTTAAATGAGTAATGTTATTAACCTCAAACGCTAGCCAATAAAAATAGAGATAAACTGTAAAGTTAGACATTTTAAATTTAAAACTTGATAACTTTATTGCGGTCAAGTCATAAGGGATTAATCCTTCTTGAATTTCCTAGTCCCGGCTTTCTGATAGTATGTGGTCAAGACTCTGCTTGGTAAATGATTTGCATTTAATTGGACTGGAGAGAGGATTAGTGTAGGTGCACAAAAAATGATCCAAATATCTCTGACCGTAATACTACAAAAAAAAATGAGTAGTATTATTGGAACCTAAAAAAGTGACCTCATTTACTGACCTATGATGTGGTAAGTGATGAATCTCAATGCAGAAGTTCAAACAGATACAATCATAACAATACTATTAGATCATGTAACTACCACGTCATTAGATTAATTTTTTAGATTTCAATAGTATTACTTTTCTCAAAATGTTTTTCAAATTATGAGTTGGCTTAGTTTTAAATGATGCAAATTCCTTTTACATATATCATGTAATTGTAAGATAAATGATGCAAAATATTAGATGTTATTTTTCTATTCTCATTTATCCCTTATTTATTGAACATAGCATGGGAAATCTACAAGAAAAATGTATCACATGAACGTAGTCATAAAGGTATGCTACTTGAGAAATAGAATTACCACACCAAGGTTGGCCTTAATTTGCTTTAAGTGATCAAGAGAGAATGTCATGGTAGTTATATTGACAGGGCGGAACTGAACCCCTTCATCTCCGGATCTGATTGGTGTCCGATCATCTTCTACAACGCTGCTCTTCAAGATGCTCCATCCAAAATCTGATACAGTGTTGATCATACCAGATAAAATTCGCGGTACACGTCTGAAAATGTTGACGCTATCACGTTTAGGTTTGGAGCTCGATTGACGCGAAGGGAACGTCAAGGGAAGAGAAGGATTGTCAGCTCTTTGCATACAAGAAAGAAGAGCTCCTATGAGAGAATAGCCATCACCCAGAGCATGGTGAAGTTTGAATATCACATTCCCTGCTGCACTGCTTGTTGGGTACTTAACTATGTGAATTTCCCACAATGGTCTAGTTTGTGGTAATTGATCCATGCCTATTTTTGTTAAGTAGTCAGCCAAGTACTCGTCATAAAATTCTGGTGACATTCCTTGAGGGAAATTTGGGTAAATAAGATGGTCTTTAAGGTTCACTTCAACCCGCTTCCATTTCTTTTCTCCATCGTCATCTCTGACCTGCTCCAACTTAGTTAGTACTTGGTATTCCAGTTTTTGGAACAAAAAAATTATCTCAAAAAACCGAAGACTTTTAAATGCATATTCACAAGCAAGAATGGAACCAAGATTTTATTCTAGATTGGGCAAAACATGAATTACAACATTCTGGAACATGACGTCCTTTTGAATCAAAAAAACGTCTATATTTGATTAGTTTTGTGCTGAAGTTTCACATCGATTTCTTTTCAATGCACACAATCAAAAAGCTTATGACAAAATCATCATTCATTTTACAGTGAAATCTAACTGAAGTCATATTTCATCTTATTGAAAAATTCATTCTTTAAAAGAGTAGGAAAACTCTCGGATTAAAACATTTTACTATTTGTTTCCAACCGTCCTGCTGTTTTTGATCCAAATTAAACATTTGTTTTACTGGATTACGAGATAATGGACCATACTTTTGATGAAACGAAAAATAATTAATTAGGACCACTAGACAAATCTTCAAAACATTAAGGTGGTAATGTGTAAAATCTAACAGGGTTATGGACTCCCTCACACTATCCGCAATGTTATCAGAAGTCAATGGACGATACTGCCCCCACACCCTGAAACGTGGGTCCGTCCTTGTTCACAAATAAATACCCAAACAAACAAGATTACCTAATCTATGAAAAGATACTCTCAGCCCAAAACATTATGTAATTACACCTCTGACATTTTTTTGCCCAAGAAACTTGGTATTTGATTGTACTTGTTTGCTGTTCTGTTTCATCTCCTTTTTTTTTTTTTTCAACAATGAGGGTATTTAAGTCAATTTACGTACATCTCGACTGATTCCCTCCCCGATTTAATCAAAAAAGGTCATCTGTACTGAAACTAAGGTATTCAAGAGAGATAAATCTATTAAGACTTGACCTTCAATGATTGACAAGAGTACATTTAAATTTACAACTCATCTTTATTATAAGTTGATCTACACTTAAGAGTTTGTTTCATCTATAAAAAAGGTAAAAAGAAAGAAAATATTGTGGGTTGAACTGCCAGTATTTGGTTCCTATCCATTGATCCAAAGCGGAAAGGGTTGCCATAAATTGGTTATGTGCAACAGAGGACCTAAAAAGGTGAAGTAAAATTCTATAGCAACCTTTTTGTGCATGCCAGAAACCCTTTTAAAAGCGACGTGTTCCATAAATTTGTTCATAGAAACAGTAATTTCTATCATTATAGAAACTTGTAATAAGTGCAACAATGAGAGGTCATGAAATGTTTACAAACAACCAGAAAAAAAAAAAAAAACAAAGCAACGTGTTTCATAAATTTGTTTTTTTACGTTTTTTAAGTAGCATTTATTTATTTATTTATTGTTTTTTTATACAGGTCTGCTCATTGTATTCTATAGTAATACACATATCTATCTATATATATATAAAACAAATATTTTTCTTGTGATGATGCCTTTAAAAGCTTTTGCACCTAAAATACTCAATTCTCAAATTTTAAAATTTTTTAATTAAAAGAAAATGAAGTTCATCCAATTAACAAATATTATTCCAAAAAGTTCTAATTTTTAAATCCATAAAAACTGTATGTAGCTTTTATGCAATTTACCATTCCAATAAAATAAAATAAAATACTAACACTTATTACTTCTGCATGTAACTTGCTACTTATAGAGAGGAATGGAATGCTTCACCAGAATCAATCCAAGGATCTCGACTCCATACTCGAGATAATTGTATAAACAATTAGAGATAGGGTAGCATCCCTGAAGTTCAAGCAGCCTCTTCAGAATTAGTCATTATGACAACTTCAAAGTAACCGTTTAAGCAGCTAGAATACAAGCAAATCTTTGCTACTTTGGTTTGATTCTGCAATGGGTGTTTCTGGATCGCTTGCACCCCTTTCAGAATTGAAACTTGTAGAATTGGTCTTTGTTCCAATTCTTCCTTTTTTTTTTTTTTTTTTGTATGAGCAATGTTACGTGGATTTAAAAAAATAGACTTGATAATTACAACTATTAATTTCATTATGGGTCCAAGCATTTATTAGAACATACTCTCTATTCAATAGTTGTGATCAAATCTATCTTTTTAGTCCAGATACCATTATGCTTTTTGTATACATTTATATACATCACATGCCTTTTGTGTCAATGAAATTTTTAATTTCCAAAAAAAAAAAACTCCCTACTTGTCCCTATATTTTTGTAACACTCCTTATCAAGTTCCAAGTCTCAATTCCTCCCAATAAATCTCTCTCTCTCTCTCTCTCAAACCCAAGTAGACAAATCATCTAATACACTAAGTAAATCTTCCTTAGCAATCACCTGAATCACATGGATTTCCAAACCAATGACTCCAACCATACTAATTTTGGGGAAACTAAGTAGGCTCATGGTTATCTATTTGAATATATCTATTTGAGCAACACTTTGGTATCTCTTTTACTTTTTCATTCAATTTTATTTTCAAAATTTTGTTCTTCACCTTCTGATATAAGAACATATAGGTTTTATATGAAACACAATTTAAAAGGATCTTTTTCTTTTTTTCTCCAAATGAACCCTAATGTACATATATTTGTGTCATTCATCGACCAAGATACATATAAATCTTCTTTACAAAATAGCAATCAATATGTTCTTGTTTTTCAACAAAATTATCTTATGTTTCAAGTAAGTTACTTAAAAACGCGTCACTAAACAGTACAAAAGTTAAAGCATTGTTCTTTTTGGGTAGAAAGTTGGCGATCAGAAATGGCCACACTGAAAATACAGTTTTCGTTTTTTGATACCTGAAAACACTGAAATGTATGGCAAATAGTGCCATCCAGACAAGGAGACAGTTGTTCTTTATGTTCTTTACACAAAATGCATGAGGAAAATGTATTTTTAGTAAACTGTAAACCACAGAGCATTGATCAGTTTAGTGAAGGCTACACACACACACACACACAAATGCATACACAGAGAGCGAGAGAGAGAGAGAGAGAGAGAAAGGTACCATGATGGAGGAGAACCGAGGATTGATGGGTAAGAACACATTTTTGAGCAATGACATGGTTTGTGAGTCATCGAATGGGACTGCAATCTCCAAAACACCGATGATAGTAAGAGATAACACTGAGCTGTTGAAGTATTGTGCAATAGGACTCACTGGTTCAGACACTTCTTCTTCTTCAAACTCCATTTCTGAAGTTGGTGCACCTGAGGTTCTTCCACCACTAACTTCTGCCTGTGTGTCTAAATGCATAGCTACTTCCGAGGTTGGCTTAGCTATATATGTGGTTGAATCTTTTTAGCCATATGAAAAGATATTAAATGTCAAGTAAACCAGCATTTCTGTAAAATATTTCTAATTTAATCATGTTTTTCCCTCCCACCTTTCTTTGTTGTTGGTATAGTATTTACTTCCACTCCAACAACTGGACCCATACAATAGGGTTGGCAATGGCCATGTCAAAGACCCATACAATAGGGTTGGCAATGGCCATGTCAAATTCATGTTGTAGTATGTCTTGTTTCTTAATATCGTCAAATTGAGTCACGTTGTTGTTGTGTATATATTCTATTTAATTAAGTTTAAGTTAATTCATTGCTTAAATTGATTTGACGGATTCACCCATTAATTGTAAAATTTGGATAAATTTACACTTTTTATAAAAAAATGGTAAAATGGTAATTTGTCACTATAGTACGGGTTGTAAATTTGAAATTTTCTAGAATCCGGATGACAAATCGGACCTCGCCGTTGGATTCGTCTCGCGAAATCTAGTTACTCCGTTAATTTTCGTCGAATTTCAAAATAGTCAAAATTTTCACGTTTTATGAGACGATAGAGTCTCGGGTGACCCAAAAGCGGGATTTTTAATAAAAATTTCGAAATTTGAAAAATAATTTAAAATAAAAATATTTTAAACTTGAATCGAGAAAAAATTTAATCGTTTCGAGGTAAAATCGGACCCGAAAAAAATAGGATCATGTCGCACAATGTGAGCCAAGCATATGGAGAGTATAAAAAAGAGAAAAAATATGATTTTCTCCCATCTTTTGTTCAGCTGGTTAAACAATAGAAAAGAGGAAAAGGAAAAACTTAAGTTCTCTACACTTTCTCTCTAAGATCCACAAGGATTAGTTGCTCAAACCAACTTGAGCCAAGAGGAAAATTTATTTCTCTCGTCGAGGGCTACGCAGCCATATCAAGAGGCAAAAGTTTTACCGAATATCAAAGAACGAGATTTTTGGAAAGTTAGGGCTTTGAGTTTACAAGTGGGTCCTTAGAGCTTCTCAGGGCTATTCTTTACGCTTCGAGAGGTAAGGTTCCTTCTTACTCAGGTTTATTTACAACCTAGGATACTTATATGAAATGGGTATATGGATAGGATGCTATATTATTTGCCTATTATGGTAGATTTAATGAAATGGGTGTTGGAATTAGGTAGAATGAATTTTACCTTGAATTGGGTATGTGAAGTTGACTCAATGTGATTCATGAAAATTGGTGTTATGTGGGCATGTTATGTGCTTTTATTATGCCTTGTGAATAAAGTGTGTTATTGGCATATAATATGTAATAACATGCTTGTGATGTATGATTGGATATAAAGATATTCATTTATGCTTATAGATATACAACATTGTGATGAATTTGGTAATTATATGCTTTGGATATAAATTGTCATGGAATATATTTAAATGTGGTTAAATTTGCTCATGTGGCATTCTTTACATATCGGGTATGACATTGCATTTGCATGGGAGAAACGTTTAAGTGTGGGTGTATGTATGCATGTTTGATATCAAACACCAAATAGGTGGATGATGGTAGGCTCAAGATAGTTGGATTGAAAATCCGACTGAGTCGCACGGTGATATGAATAAAGAATTGGGTCGGGGTTAGCAAGAAGGGCTAAACTATCCCTCGGGTGAGAGACCCGGTGATTGAAAACGCACTCTGTTAGTATAAAAGCCCATAAAGTGTATCGGTATATGCAGAACCGTTGGTAGAAGTTCATAAATTCCGTGTCGGTTAGGTGTCGTTGGTATAAGTCCATAAATACCAACCCCAAGAAAGACTCGGAGAATTGTAATTAGTCATTAGGTGTGTAACGCCAATGGCGGGGCTTGGGAAGCCGATTTTTGTACTCATGACATACATGGGGGAAAAGGAGCTAGGGAGGGCTCAGGTAGAGTTACATGAGTGAGTCTCATCTCATTTCATGGCATGATTTGCTAAGATCTCAACATTGAATAATATATTCTTGGTTGGGATGTTATTGGTGGTAAAGTGTTGCATGAACATTCATATGCACTTAGGTTAGGGAATAGCCTTAGTAGGAATAATCTACTGGGCGTGTCTCACCCTATACGGAAAAATATTTTAGGTGCGGGATATACATCGGTGGAAGGCCTTCACATGGGACCCCAAGGGTGAAGAAAGCCGGAATGTGACCTTATTTTGAGTTTTGTGAAACAATTTTGTAATTTCTATTTTGGTATGTAAATATATTGAATTGATTGTAATAGAACTTGTACGGATTATGTATTATATGAAAAACTTCATTATACATGTGTTGGATGGAAATAATATCCATAAGTTGGGAATGAAAAACTTGTGAAATAGGCAAAATTGGGCAAAGAGTATCGGTACAACGATGTCCAGTGGATAAACTGTACAGGTACAGATGTTGACAGTACCGGTACAGTCTTGTCCAGAAGGCTCACAGTACTGGTACAATAAAGTCCAGTTGGTAAAGCGTACCGGTACTCTTTTCAAAATTTTGAAATTTTAAAATTACTTTGTCAAGCCTTTGGGCTATAAGTTCTTGAGTTCCAAGGATGTAAATGGACTATAATGGGATAAGAAACAAAATGCATTGGACCACGATACGATTAAAGGATAAAATATACATGGGTTACACGTGTAAATTAAAATCTCGGTTAAGGGGGATGTTATTAACGTGACATCGGGTTATGTGACGATCACGGGTACTTGCGCGGGTTGACGATTGGCCAACGGTTGAAAAAAAAACCCCAGTTTTAGAGGCGTCACACTAACCATTCTAATTTGTTAAGATTCAAAATTAAGTTTTTATTACGTGATCATGTTCGTGAATCGTTCAGACCTATACATCAAATCTACGACAATAGAATAACTACCAAATGAATAAATATTAAGTTACGACAATGAATCCTTAGGGGTTGGTAGCTGGCGAGCTTAGCTCTTGTTTTGTAGCTGCTGGGACATTTCTAGAAGGGTCTTAAATTTTACAACCCGTACTATAGTGGCAAAATTTCAAAGTACTTTCTTGCCTCTGGTGAGGCCGCGTGTCCTCGGCCTCGATGACCCCCTGCATAAACTTTGCTCCAATACATGTCCCTCGGCTCCAGGACATGCCCCCTCAACCCTGAGGGTACTCTCTTCAGACTCATCATGGATCCTTGGCTTATGAGGAGACTAGTGACTGACAGCAAAGCATCCTAAGCTAGACTAGAGACTATGAGGACACTCTGCATAATGTAGTCAGAGTGACAGATTAAACTGGACACTTAACCAAAGGAAATCAGATACGTGGCGTAAGGAACAGGGAAAGGGGTAAAAGGACAAGACTACCCCTGCTGATATGCAGCTAATAGAGACAGGCATTAAATACATCATCATTTGATAAGACGTTTACCACGGCTTGATAAGCCGAGAAGTAAAAGCTTTAAATGCTTAAGGATCCAAACATTTAATATCTCTACATTGAAAAAAGAGTATTAAGTGCTCAGCAGGCCGGACAATCAATACCGGGACATTCCCCCATAAAAAGTAGGGGGCACACTGCCCCATCTCTGAAAGTTACCTATTGCCTAGATTACTGGCAATGATGAGTCTTGGAATGTATAATAGTCTTTAAAAATACATTGCAAAGGTACGCAAAATCATCTCTCAAAAATTCAAAATAATATTTTTTCTTTCCCTCTCTCAAAAAACTGACTTAATCGTCAAAGGGGATACACCAAAAAACACTCTGGCGCCCTTCTAACTTATTTTCTGTGTTCCAGGAATTCTTTGCAAACCACTAGAATCGGTTCGACAGCAATGAAAACAATTCATCACTACTTCTTTGGCTCCCTTTGGTCCTCTCAACTCATTCCTTGTTGTCGAATCCACCATCTCGACGGATCGGAACTCACTGTAGGAGATCTGTTCTCATTTCAGCTATTGTGCAAAAATCTTTCCGCATAGTAAGTGATCACTACCTCAAGTTTTTAAGTTTGAGGATAGTGTTTGATGTTCTTGTTTTGGCGATAATTAAATATACACGTTTGAAGTTTGCTTTCTAAGCATGAGTTCAAAAGATGATTAGACATCTTGCGTGATAAAAAATGGTTGTTTGATGGTTTCAACTAGGGTGTCAAACGTATCAAGTTGAGTCATTTTGTATTGCGTTGATTTTGAATTTATGTCGAAAATCTCAACACCCGAACCTCATATATTTAGTAATCGTGTCAATATGTATAAACACTAACCTGATCTGACCATTAAATGAGTTATCCGAACCTGACATGTTTTATACATATAATAAACAAGTCGTTTTCGGGTTAACACACATAACATGATCTATTTAACACACATAACACAGACTTACTTAACACATATAACATGTGTTTCACACTTGTTTATTACCATTAAATACACCATTTAATCATTCATCCAAATTTTTAAATAATTTGTTCACAATTAACATATCACGTCTTATTAATGAAATTAACTAAAATGCATTCAAGTTTCAATTTAAAAATTAAAATAAGAACTGTCATGATAATGTTAAAAATTATACTATCAAATACTATAATAGAAACTAATGGACATTTGGTCTAATGATATTTTTTATCTTGTGAAAGTTTTGTTTTCTTGAAGTTAAGGGTTTAAATCCCCCTCCTCTCCCAACAAAAAAAAAATTACTATAGTAGAAATAGGAACTAATAACAGTCATACATAATAGACAAATTATTGTCATAAACGGATTAAACGGGTCTACAATAAGTTAGGTTGAGTCTATAAATTTCATGTTTGAACTATTAATTTTATATTTAATTTATATCGTGTTAATGTGGTGTCGTGTCAACTATTAACGACGCTAGTTCCAACCTTATTGAATAATGAATAACTCTTCAGTGAAGTCAATAGTATGTAAAGCTGCTGTGAAAACTTCTATAGTTCTTTTCAACGCCATTAAAACCTTTGTACTTTGGTTGTCATTCATG